TTATGTCCCGTATTTGGTTTCAACCGTACCTATACAATTATTTTATTGACAATTATAATCAATCTTGACTATATTAACTTGCATTTATAAACTTAGAATTACCTATTTAACCCGCACGAGCTTAGCTCAATAGTTTAGTGGGCAGTATTTGGGAGAAGAGACCAGGGTTTAATTTGAACCTCGTCGGCGGCAGTGCGGGAATTATGTCCAAAGTGGGTAGATTCCTTGTTCGCACCGGCATTTGGTCCTGTCTGCTGAACCATTGAGTCACCGTGATTTACAACTTCCCACAATGCTCTGTCGGGTCGGAGTGTGGGGGGCCCTTGGGGTTGGGGACTCAACCTTTACGAGAAGAATTACCTATTTAAATACGCAAATTCAACCTTCAATTATCTATGCATGAACAATTTCAATATAATCTTACCTTAATATACTTTAAAGTACTTATTTTAAAAAAAAAAACATTGGGCATTATCCCAATCGCGCAATGCACGTAAAAAACTAGTTTTTTAATAAGTTTGAGAAAGGTGAAAATTGAATTAAAATGTTTTATATAGAGATACATACTAATACTATTGTATAATAAATTTTTTGACAATCAACACCCAAAATAGACGTGAAAGTAAAAATATTTGTGAAAAGAATCCGATATCTATATTTGTGACAAATTAAATGAGCAAATGATAAACAATGAATATAGAATGTCAATGAATGTATCATCACTAATATAAAAATCCAAGAGTGTAAATTGAATTATATTACTTCTTATCTTAATCACTCATAGATTAAGTTGCATATATACTTTGATGTTAACGAGATCTATATTATGTTATTAGCTTATTTTATAGCTGCAAATTAAATTGTGGTACTACAATTTCATTATAATTAATGTGCGAAATTTTTACAACTATTTCAAATTTTTTCCCTTCGATATCCCTCATAAAAGATTTATATTATGTTATTAGTTTATTTGTAGGTGCAATTTAAGCAAAATTAACAAGATCTGTGACAACCAAGACTATATGGTCTAATAGTACCCGGATTGGACTTCTATGTGGAAGATTGTGAGTTTAAGCCTCACTAAGGGTGTTATTGGTTTTTTTTTTTTTGTGTTTTAGTAGGTTGAGAAAGTATATGAACAGATACTACATAGTAATAGAGCTAGTAGCATTCAAAAAAAAAAAAACAAGATCTGTGACATGCAATCGTTCATTTATTTATATTAAAAAAATTCTCGTAAACACATAAATGTTAAATTAAGGGGTGTACGTATTCAAGACTTTTGTAAATTATTAAAATTTTTATAGACTTAAAATATTTAAGGTATTCAATTCAAACGTTTTAAAGATTTTTAAATGTTGGGTGATATTTTATTTATAAATTTTTATTTTATATATATATAATTAGTGCAAACTTTTTTTTGGATTGGATTTGTGGAGAAAAATAATGAGGAGGGGAGATGAAGCGCACGCGAGCAGCAGAGTTGCCACTAATTTCGCCCCAGCACATTATTTCAAATAATGGTGTTCCATAATTCCACATGCATAATTATTGCACAAACCTAATTATTCTTATCCCCATATATTATTATTATATTATTATTATTATTAATTTAATTTTGTCCTACTTATTCTGCTGCTTTAAAAATAAAAAATAAAAAATTGGTTGACTACTAAAGGGAAATTAATTTATTTGATTTGAGTATAAATAATATTTTGTCTCAAATTTTATAGTATCCAATCTTCACGTATTTGATATTTTTTTGTTGTCGTAAGTTTTCAATTAGAGGAAATTTATTTAATTAATAAGTAGGATTTTTTTCTTTAGAAAGATTTATAATATATACTATTACTTTAAAGTTTAGAAGACAATAATATGTAAAATGAATAATAAATCTTCTTTGAAACTTGTGGCATATGGTATACTCTAACCCTAAACTCTGTAGCTTTCCCTCACTTAAAATTATTTATGTAAAAAAAAAAAAGAGTTAATACCCATTTTGATCCCTCGACTATTAGGTAATGCGTAATTTAATCACAAATTATTAAAAGTATCTAATTTAGTCCTTTAAGTTGTAAAATCATACCCAATTTGATCATCCGTTACAATTGCCATTCATCCACCATCATAAAGATGGGCAAAAATGTCCTTTTATCTAAAGTCGAGGTACCAAAATGGGTATTAAATTATTATCTAATAGTCGAGGGACCAAAATGAGTATTAACTTTTTTATTATTATTATTATTATTATTATTATTATTATTATTATTATTATTATTATTATTATTATTATTATTATTATTATTATTATTATATTTGATATTGGTACAATGTCTCCTCCACTATATTACTTCCTATTATTTTAAAAATTAAACTAAAATGTACCACACAAAAAAAAAGCATGCGCAATTACGAATTGTTGTTATAGAGTTCGATTTTTGTTCGAGATCTAGGGTTATAGAGTTCAATTTTTGTCAACACTCTCTCGATTTTTGTGCACATATAAACTAATGATTACGAATTTTTCTCGTCACAAAAAAAGCAATAATATAGTGGCGGGAGACATTGTCCCAATGTCAAATATAACAACAACAACAACAACAACAATAATAATAATAATAATAATAATAATAATAATAATACTATCCATTTTGGTCCCTCGACTATTAGATAATACGGAGTAATAGTTAATACCCATTTTGGTCTCTCGATTTTAGATAAAAGACATTTTTGTCCCTTTCTTTAACAGTGGATGGATGACAATTGTAACGGAAGACCAAATTGGGTATATTTTACAAGTTAGAAGACTAAATTGGATACTTTTAATAGTTTGGGACTAAACTGTGCATTACCTAATAGTCGAGGGACCAAAATGAGTATTAACTCAAAAAAAAAAAAAAAAAAAAAAGAACTTTCATTTGCGTCCAAATGTGGGTAATCATCGTTTCATATGCATTTGCGGTTTGTCTCTATTGGAGTTAATCACCCAATAACTAGCATGAACCAATTTATAAATTTGAAGTTCAAACTTAACAACTCTTCATCATCACTTCTACATAGTTCCAAATATTTGTACATATTTATACACCCTTTATCTCTATCCTTTGTGATTTCTAACAAATCTAAGCTTTTGAATATTTTGAGTTTGTTGATCAGTTGAAATGTGTCTCGGGACCACTTAACATAAATTTATACTTATATATGACGACGAAGATTGAATATATATATATATATATATATATATATATATATATATATATATATATATATATATATATATATATATATATATATATATATAGGTTCTAATGAGAACACTTGCTTAGGTGAGAACGTGAGAACAAATCGTGTGCATCCATCTAATATTTTTTAATGGTCTAGATTAGATTAAGTGTGTGTGAATGCGAATTAAATGTGTGCAAATGCACTTAATCGCGTTTGTACATATTTAATTCGCGTTCGCACAAACTAATCTAGACCATTAAAAAATATTAAATGGATGCACACGATTTGTTCTCACGTTATCACCAAAGCAAGTGTTCTCATATAATCATATATATATATATATATATATATATATATATATATATATATATATATATATATATATATATATATATATATATATATATATATATATATATATATATATATATATATATATATATATATATATATATACTAGCATTGTGTACGCGCGATGCGCGAAAATTCATGCCCAATATTAAAACATTGATAAATACAAATAATTAAAAATTATAATTTGAATTATATATATATACAAATAATATATATATTTTGTACACACACATATATAATTTATCATTCATAGAAATTTAATTAAAATATAATTAAGTATTAAATTAATATATATTTTAATAAAATGATAATTAAAAATAGAAAAAAGATATGATAGATATAGGTGTATGGTAATAATGATGTGTTATTGAAGTTAGAATTAAAAACTAACGGTGTCATAACGGTGTAAGGGTAGTTTTGTCTAATAACATTGGAATGTACAACATTTAAAGTAAAATGTACACATTTATTTGCATACAAAGAGAGGGACATAAATCAAGGATATAACTTTCATTGAGATATATTATGTTTTTAGATATATATATATATATATATATATATATATATATATATATATATATTCTACTTTTTCCTTTTTTTACTTTTACAAATATTAGTGTACATGATAGGATGGTTAAAAAATATTCATAATAAGTTAAAAATTCATCAAGGGATCATGATACTTCTATCTTTAAAAATTCCTCAATCAATCAAAATGAGTTTATAAAATCTCCTTTTTATTATAAATACAGTTGATGTTTTGTGTAAGACCAAATTTCACATTTAGTCTTCGACTAATGTAGCATTGCGGCATTTGTTCTACTCTTTTAATTTTGCTTCATACATTATTAACTTTCATTTGCTTGTTACAATTAGGTTTTTGTTTAAATTTCACCATTAATAAAAAAGGGTGACGGTAAGAACGTTACCGAAGTATATTTGGAAAGGATAATAAATAACACGTAATATTGTCTAATGATTATGAATATAATATTGAGTCGGTCCCATGCTTGTTAGTTTCTACAGGGTCTACTATTTATACTAATGCGTACAACGTCTCTTTACTCAACGTAACGGACTCTATAATAATAATGGAGCACCTGGCCTCACCATAATTGCTTCTTCTTAAATAGGGTGGTGCCAAAGTAAATATGTAATCTCTTCTTAAGTGTGTGACTTGGGGCTCCAGTACTAAATTTGGAAAGCATGTTGGTGTCAGCGTTTTAGTCATGAGACACATGAGGGATTTCGTACCTCTTGAACGTACATAGAGCTTTCAACACCGCGTCACTATACCTCTACATGTTACATTCGTTAGCTTCGTATTCGCCAGTTACATGACCTACAACCAACTTGGAGTTTCACCATATGCAGATCCTTTCCGCCCTTAGCCCCGTTGCTAGTTGGAGTCCATTGAGAAGGGCCTCGTATTCTGCCTCGTTATTAGATAACTTGAAGTAGAACCGTAGGGCATGATAGACCCGTAACCCCTAAAGGGTAATGAGCACTACCCCACCACTGCAGCCCTTGTTGTTAGAAGAATCATCTATGGACAAAGTCCACCACCCTTAGTCTTCGATCTCAACCTGCTCCACCATTTCTCGGGCCGTTCATTTCACTATAAAGTCTACAAGAGCTTGGTCTTTAATGGCTAGTTGTGGCTTGACTTTAATGTTGAATTGGTTGAGGTACATGTCCCATCTCGCCATCCTAACTAAGGTGTTCATATTCCGCAAGAAGCTTCCTAACAGCTGATGTGAGAACACATGGATAGGGTGAGCCTGGAAATAGTGGGCCAACCTATTTAATGAAGTGACCACGGCAAATATAGTTTTCTCCACCGCGGTGTACCGGAGTTCAGCCTCATGTAGGGCTTTGCTTACATAGTAGATTGGATGTTGAATCCCTCCTTCCTCTTTGACTAACACGGAGCTAATCACACCCTATGACACATCCAGATACAAGAGTAAGGTATTGCCCACCTTAGGCTTTGCAAGCAATGACAGGGATAACAAATACTTCTTCAACTCCTTGAACACCATCTAGTAGTCTAGGGTCCACTCGAACCCCTTGCTTTTCTTTAAGGTTTGGAAGAAAGGGAGGGATCGCTCGGCCGATTTAGATAAGAATTGACCTAGGACCGCTAGTCGATCATTGAGCTTCTGGACTTCCTTTATGGACTGCGGGGCCTCCATGTTAAGGATGACTTTCACCCTTTTCGGGTTCGACTCTATCTCATTCCTAGTAACCATAAAACCCAAGAGCTTACCCCCTTGGACTGCAAAGGTGCACTTTTTTGGGTTCAAATGTAAGTTAAACTTTTTCATGATGGAAAATACCTCATTGAGATCCTCGACTTGAGAGATGGTCTTGCGGCTCTTGACGATCATGTCTTTCACATAAGCTTCTATGTTCCAGCCAAGCACCGTCTTGAATAATTTTGCCACCATGCGAGTGTAGGTGGCCCTATAGTATTTTAGGCCAAATGGCATGACCAAGTAGCAGAATACTCCCTCTAGAGTGGTGAAAACAGTCTTCACGACGTCCTCTTCATGCATGGATATCTGATGATACCCACAACAGGCATCCATGAAACTCATTAACTCGCAGTTTGTTGTCTCATCCACCAGTTGGGGCAAGCTCAGTTAAGGTTTGTGTAGTCTACGCATTTGATAAGTGCTAATTCTTAGTATTTTTATATGCATAATTGATATCAAACTCATATTATTTCATGTTAACTGGAAGCTAATTATGTGCATATTTGATTCCTTTGTGTTATTTAGGTGATTTGGAGACATTGATTGTAACATCATGTAAATTGGAGCTCAATTGGACGTGTTTTGAAGTTATCTTGGCACAAAGTCGGGTTCCGGGAGTCTTGAGAGGTCAAGAAAGTGAAAAAGAGCAAGTGGAAGTATCATGACATAACCTGGGGACCCAATTGAACAAAGGAGATGAAGAAATATGCATTTTGAAGTGAAGAACATGGGTCAAGCTGCTGGTCATGCCGTGACTGCCAGCGTGACACCATTCTGCTTTGCGCTTTTTTTCTCTGCCAGGCGATGTCTCTGTATGTTGGGCCTATCTTTAGTTAGGAGTGTCAAAATAAAGTGATTTAAGTGGAATTGGAATGACAACTCAAAGAGCTACAACTTTCATGCAAACCACAAAGGCTATTTCGGACGTCTACAAGGTGAAAAATGGTTTAGAAACCAGAGCTGCTGTTCAGAGTTGGTGGTCACAGTCAAGGTCAAGGCGTGAACCCCAGCGTGACCACAAGCCCTGTAGCAAATCCGAGGCGGTTATTTTGGGGCGAACTTCGACTTTAGATTGCTGGGATTGGTTGTTTTGACTCATCTTTGGTTCCCGGAGTTCCTCCCTCTAGGTCTTCTTCCATAGAAACTCTCCCAAACACTTATACATTATAATCCATCAACATCGTTGAAGATCTAGATGAAGAATTCGCCTTGTAATTGCTTTTCAATCTTCAATTTCCATGATCAAAGTTAAGTGTCATTTAATTGCAATTTACTTTTCCTTTTTTAATGCTTCCATTGATTCTTCATCTTGGCTATTCAATTGTGACAATGTTTAGCTAATTCTTAGGGAATTAAGATTAGGTTTACTTGATGTGATGCTAGAATGTTTTGATTGCAAGTAGGAAATGACTTGATGTATTGACTTGATCCTTGTTGGAAGTGGACTTCGTATAGACTATTGTTTGGTGATGGCCACATCATGGAATAGGTATTGGACATGTGTAGTTGCCAAGAGATTGGGACTACACTATAGCCTAATCCACTTGCATTTCCCACCTTGTACCAAGAGGTAGAGCTCGGAAGAAGATATAGACTCTAAATGTTCAATTAAATGTCTAAAGTAGTAAGGTTGTTATGAGAGTAGGATTTTACTACTTGATAGGCCAATTAGACCACGAGAGTGGCTTGGCAATGGAAACATCTTCCAAGAATCATGACCAAAGCATTACACTACTTCCTATACTTAGGGTCATTCTATTACACCCAATCAAGGAACACCTAGTCCTAGTCCCCTCCATTCACTTAATTGCTTCTTTAAAATTACTTGATGCTTTGATAATGTACTTTGTTTAAGTCTTGAGACCTTCCTTCCTACGGCTCTTACGCACTTGTACTTAGCCGCGCATTGTTCAATTCCCATTAGCCATCCTTAGAGAACGACATCCCGGGGAAGTTCCATCTTCCTTATATTTTCTTTCCATCCCACGTAAACTACAACTTTTAGCACATCATACAAGTAAAACCCTTAGGAGCTAGGACTACGTTGCTCATCCACTGGGGGTAGTAAATCTCTTTGATATGTCTCACCTGCAGCAGTGCGACCACCTTCTTCTTCATAAGTCTCGTCGTTCTGCCGAGAGGTAACTCTTCTTTGATGTATTGGCTTCTTGGTGGGATCTATGACTAGTTTGTGGGTTATGATATCTCTGCCCAATATGTCCTCAGGTTTCCATGCAAACACCATGCTAAAGCTACAGATGACATCCATTATCTAAGATCTCAACTCGGGAGCTAAGCCAGTGCCAATTTTTACCACTCAGTTCGGGCAGGCGGGGTCTAGTGTTATGTTTTCCGTCTCTGCCATGGGCTCGGTGCGTGGCCAAGCTTCTTAATCCTTAAACATTTTTCTACTATGGTGTGGAGTCTTTCTTGTTGATCCTCTTGCACCCCGTTAGTTAACATCTACAGGCTGCTCTCTGGTCTCCTCTAACAACACATGTCCCATTTAGAGTGGGAAACTTCATGCACATGTGCTCTATTGACACTATTGCTTTAAGGTCCTCTAGTACCAGTTATCCCAAAATGACATTATGAGCACAAGTTAACCTTACAATGATAAACTCCACATCTAACTTGCAGACATTGGGGTAGGTGTCCATCTCTACCAGCAAGACCACATACCCCATTGTTTCTATCGAGTCCCCAATAAACCCAGAAAGGGGCATACATTCATCTTTCAATTCAATTAGCTCCTTGCCAACCCTAAGTTTGTGAAAGCGTTGTAGTACAACACATTAACCGAGTTCCACGTGTCCACTAGTACGCAATGTACTATCATGTCATTGATGTCCATATTGATCACTAGTACATCCCGATGGGGCAATAGTCCCTCAGAGAGGTCATCGCTAGTGAAGGTGATTGTGACACCCCGAAAATTACCCTTATTTTCCTAAACTAATTTCTACTTATATTTTGGTAAAGAAAAAATTATTTTACAAAAACCCAATCCTATTTTTAAAAGTCTAAGTATGATAAACCCTTACGAGCCCAAAATCTCCTAAATTCATTATTATACTTATACAAGCCTTCTCTTGTTATAAATATTAAAAGGTGTGCCTAATTTATAATACATGTTATATACTAATGTTCCTTATAATTTTAAAAGCCCAATTGGATCCCTTGAATTAAATAAAAGCCCATAGCCCATATAATACCCTTATTCTTGTATAATGTATATATCAGCATATTATCTTCATTTCCCTTAGCATGACAACATCAAAACCCTACTCCTACTCTCTTGCATTTCACGCCAACTTCATCCCTTCTCCCTACCAAAATTACTCTTCAACTCCTATTCAAGAAATCAAGTCAAGTTAGTAACTTTCCTAATTTCTAAGCTAGGAAGAGGTAAACTCTAAGCCCTAACACCTCTTCTATCCTCTATTCTTGCTTTTCTCTAAGTCTAATCTTAAGTGGATGTGGGTTTTGGGGGGTTTTGAAGGTGATCATGAAGATGGGGCTTGATAGGATGATATAGTGAGGTTTTGGAAGTGTTTTGCTAGCTAAAAGGTAACTCCATGTCCTTAAAACCTATTTTCACTCCATTTATAAAGTTCACTATGTTGTTGTGATTCTCTGAGCATATTTTGTTGTTTAAATGCTTGGTTTGATGTTGAATCTTGAGTATCTTGTTGTGTTATTATGCCAATCTTGTATTCTACATTTCCTTGATGAGTTAAGGCATGATTGTAACACCCCACTTTTCTTATACCTAATTACAGTTCTAATACCAAAATTAACATAAACTAAGCAGCGGGTAAATAACTTAAATAATAAACTAGTGGGAAATGTCACCGCCACAACCACATCTCCACGGTGATTGCATAGAGGATGGAACTAACTCAATAAATCCAAATAACATAGCAATACTTAATTAAAGTCATAAGGGGGAGAAACATCCCGATGTCTATCATCCAACATAAAAAACATAAGTCTACAATCCGTCAAAATAAACATCATGATAATAATATTACGAGTTTAGATTACTAGATCTACTAAGCTAGTCTAACTCAATCATCTCTCAACGCTGGGCCCACCTGAAAGGGGTTTTGTAAAACAACACTTAGACAAGTAGGAAAACACCCGTTAGCACGAAGCTAAGTATAACCACACTCAACCCTGTAAAGTACTATAGTATATACTTTGGAAAAAACATTTGTTCACAAACTCAATCAACAATCTCATCACTTAGACAACTTAAGGTACATCATAGACTTTCTATATGCTTGCAACCTATAATATCAACAAGCATGCTTCAAATATAAATAACTCATCAACATAAATATACCAACATATATTTCTCATAACAAATCTCATCATATCTAACTCATGCTATCAGTTAAATTCATACTAACAACCAATACGAAATTATCTTCATGCTTTCAAGTTCTCATCATGCAAACTGGATATGTAGGACATCAAAATGTAGCTAAAGCAATCATGCTCGATATACAATCTCGGTTAATCATTCTCATATGCAATCTAGTGCAATACTATACTCAAATGCAATCTCGTGCAAACATTCTCATTATGCAATCTCGTGCAATACTATAAGTATACTCATACACTCGTTTGTAAAATAGAATACTTTCTGTGGAGGTCTCTTGCTTGCTTTCTTTCTTTCTTTCTTAGAGTCGCAATGACTCACTTTCTTTCTTTCTTTTCTTAGAGTCACAATGACTCACTTTCTTTATAAATGGACGAGGTAGGAGCTTCACCATATTGTGAACGAACCTATCCGGGCACGGCGTCTAGCCGACCTAATACTCTGCTCGTCCACCGAACCACTCTCTTGGTTCTATGCTCAAACTCTGTGGAATCAGGTATCGAACTATCAGCGTGCACACCCCCTGACACGGATTCCAAGCCTGGCGGGTAGTTTCCAACCTCGTAACGTGGGAATACATTGCGTTACATATACTGGGACCGCAATGTCCATAAAATTCATCCGAGAGGACGTAGTCTAAACGGGGTCCTCCAAAACCTCACTGATATATATATATATATATATATATATATATATATATATATATATATATATATATATATATATATATATATATATATATATATATCATGCACCAAACTTATGCATGCCACAACTCAACAATTTCTCAATGCAACAAAATAATGATATACCACTTAGGCTCATGTTGGCCATTTATGCATTTTTGAAACATGATGTACTTGGAATGCAAAAATACTATACAACATGCTCCAAATCCATATATATATATATATATATATATATATATATATATATATATATATATATATATATATATATATATATATATATATATATATATATATATATATATATATCACATAGAACTCTCAAGAAGACAATATTATGCTTGGTTTGTAATATATTAAACTCTATATATTTCTAC